TTAATTTTAATTTATTATAGTAGTAGCGTCTTCTGGTACGTGTGGTAGTGTACTACTATTATTNNNNTATATATATATATATATATATATATATATATATATATATATATATATATATTGAAATATGTTAAATTTTGTATATATGATAAATATTACAATATGAGAAAACTACGGATGGCATCCCAAATGTTGGGTGGTCAGACTATATCAATGACTGTTGTGGGGAGGATAGAGCTAAAAAGAGAGAGAAGGAAGAGGGATATACACCCAGAGAAGAGGGGAAGTTTACAGAAATAGATGACACAAAATAGGTGCTCAGAAAAGAAAGCCTAAAGGAAACTGGAAATAATACAGTTTGCAATGAGTAATTAAGAGAAAGATGGAGTATGTTTTTGTTGGCATGCGTGCTGAGGGGCTGCTGTTGGGCGAGGTGGAGTGAGTTGTGGGGATGCTGCTGTCTTGAGAGCGGGGAGGTCATCATAAAAGTTCGACAGGTCTTCAAGATCAGCAATCCTTGGCAGCAGCAGGTTGTCGTACCAATGCGAGTCAAAAATAAGAGAGGGGAGGGGAGAAGAGAGAAGAGGAGGGGGAGGAAAGACTAGAGAGTGTGCGAGAATAGAGAAACTCTGCTATCCTGGGAAGCAGTAACTCGCCAGGCCGAGATACACGAAGAATAATATGTGGGAGGGGAGGGGAGAGAAGAGAGAGAGGAGAATTGGTAGAAGAGAGATAGGGATAGAGGAGAGGAATAAAGGGAAGAGTGGGAGGTGAGCATAAGGATAGGGGCAGAATGTAGAGAGGGTGAAGTGACTGTGTGAGAAAAGCTCGAGATGAGCATGAGAAGGCGAATAGAGAGGAGGGAGAGGGAAGGGAGAAGTAAGAAAGGAGGGGATAGGTAGAGATGGGAAGCTTAAAGATATAAAAAACAGAAGAGGCAGAGATAGAGGAGGTGTCCATGCTTATCCATTTTTTTTTTCTTCCTTTTTTTTCCTTTGTTTTTTTTCCTTTTTTTCTTCTCTTCTTTTTTTTTCCCTTTTCTGTCTGT